TGGCCACGCGGGCGGGCGGGCGGGCGGGCGGTGGGGCCGGGCGGAGGGAGGTGAGGTCGGACGGAAGGAGGTGGGCCGCGCACGGAGACGCCCACGAGGGTCATTGTGAGGTGCGCTGGAGGCGGCCGGTGTGAGCGGCGCGGACTGGGCAGACGCCCTCGCGGCGGAAGGGGGGTAGGATTGGGATGCGGGGAGTCCTGGAAAATGATGGACTTCTGATTTTTTCAGCGGAGCCCCGTCTTTTCAGATGAGGCGACTCGGGCAAGTGGTTGGCTCAGGCTTCTACTAAGAGTGGCACAGTTCGTTGAACATTGGAGTTTTGGCATCCTTTCTATTCTCTTCACCTGCCGCTTAGTAAGAGTTCTGATACTGCTCATCTTGGCCAATACACGTGACACATGACAGTAAATAAGACGATTCACTTTATGGAACAGTTTTAGCGGGAAGCATCAACATAAAGGTAACACAAAAGTTGTTCTGCCGATATGGATGAAATTGTGCAGTTCCACGCAGCTGTTGCCTTTGTGTGTGTGTGTGTGTGTGTGTGTGTGTGTGTGTGTGTGTTTTAAAGTTCAGGCTAGCTTTGAACTCACTCTGTAGCCTAAATTGGCCTTGAACTCACACCAATCCTATCTGCCCCCTGGGTGCTGGGATTATGAACATGTGCCACTGCACCTGGTTAGCCACCACTTTTTAATCCTAACTTTCAGATCTCTAATTTTACCTATTCAACATTAGGGTCCGAAAGCAGTTCTGGGATTTTTGTCGACTTAACGGTATGGCTCTTTACTTGTTGATAAAGATCTGTACAGCTGTTCCAAACATTTAAGATAATATCCTGGGGCAGCCTAAAAAGCTCAGTGGATTAAAGCTTAGCCTACAAGCATACGCAGGGGCCGCAGGGACTGGGGCTCATCCCTGGGCCTGCCGTGTGGACCCTGCCCCCCAGGGGCTCACTGAGATGGCAATGGAGACTGGGCTTGGTGGCCCGTACCTGTAATCCCAGCTCTTGGGAGGTTGTAAACAGGCGGATCACTACGAGTCTGACCTAGTAGTGAGACCCTGAACACCCTGTAGACCCTTCACTAAAATGCAAAAAAAAAAAAAGATATCCTATTAAAATACTAATAAATTTCACTGTAAATTTGAATGTTCACACGTGTCTGATTTAGATTATATTTGGCAACCATGTATGGTCAAAGAGTAGGGTGTGTTAGCTGTGTTACTAGGGTCTATTGTACATATAGGCTTGGGATATCCAAGCAGTTTGGATATCTAGTATCTTGCCCCCAGGATCAAACTAACTCTCGGCAACTGACCACGTGCCACTGCCCAGCTAAGTCATCACTCATTTGTTTTCCAGACAAAGATCATTTTATATAACCTACGCCAGTGGGTGAACTAGTAATAGACATTGACAACTTTTGAGTTGTGGGGAAGTGGCCTAGGACCTTTCCCACCCCAGAACAGAATTAGGAGACAACATGCTTCTCTTCTTGCCTATCTGGTTTTGCTCACAAACTTTGGAAGTCACTTGCCTTTTGTTTTGAGGATCTTGTTTGCCTGTAAAATTGTATAGAAATTTTAAAACACACAGCATATAAATTTCCCCATAAAGGAACATCTGTATGAACAAGTTGATTTCTAAAAAAACACTGGTCTGGAAATTCAGAAGAATTCACAAATAAGGTATTCATCACTGTGAAGAAGTAATTTCCCTCCAAAATCTCTATATGGAAATTGGTAATTCAAAATTGTGAAACTGAAAATCCTACAAAAACTGCAGTGTATACAACAGGAAATACTGTGTCTTTCCTCAAACTTGCCAGTCCAGTTTATAACCTATAATTAACTTCTGTGATGAGGATGTTTTCAAGCACAAGTTGAAGAGATTGTTTCATGCATATGACTATATTCAACTGCCTAAATAAACCAGTCCACTTTCTTTTTTGCATTTAACTAAATTTGGCATCATTTAGCTTTCCATATATGAAGTATTTCAAGTGAACCACTGACCTGAGTTACATAATTTAGATGACTTCAAGATTTCAAGTAGTCTAACCGCTAATCTTCCTCACTCCAAAGGAGTACATTAAAGTCTTAGGTTCTGAAAATCAAATTAACTTTGGAAAGCATTTTGTAAGTTTATAAATGTATTTTACAAGCAATGCATATGAGTTATTTAATCTCAGGAAAAAAGGGACAGTTAGAGGTACCAGGGTATTTGAACTCTCTTCAGTATTGCTTGCCAAAGTTTATTTGATTTTCAAAACCGAAGAATTTTAATGTACCCCCTTTGCTGTGAGGAAAATTAGCGGTTGGGTTTTCCAAGGCTTCATTATCTGGTGACTCTCCCTTATGTAGAGTACAGAACATCATGTAACTCCAGCCCTCATTTACAAAGCTTCAGTTTTGCCATGCCCAGATTTTACCTGCCCAATGCAGTTGTTAGGTCTTTCTCTGACACCCAAAATTCACAAACATCTCCCTTATTAAGTTCTTTCAGCTTGTTTCTGCCTTCTGCAAAAATGCCAAATTCTTTTATAATAGACCTAAAATGTTTTAATTTCAGCTTGGTAAGTCAAAAATTCCTTATTTTCGTTAGTACCCATTGCTGTAATTTTGAGCACACAGTATCCACATCACCCTCCTTACACAACTTATTCCCCTCCCTTTGTATAAGTCTCCCTTGTACACTCATGCCATCTTGTATTTTCCATATTATGGAAAATATTTGGCATTTATGAGTGGCTTATCTCACTTAACACGACTGTCTCCAGTTCATTTTCCTGCAAATGAACTAATACCTACCCTCTTCTTACATGCCACATTGCCTTTATCTATTCTTTGGCTCATGAGCACCCAGGTGGTTTTCCTGTCTTAGTTAATACAAACTGTGCTACAATAAACATGGGTGTGCACTTATGCCGTTAGGGTGTATTAGACTTAATTTTTTGTACCCAAGATTATAACCAAGAAACCAAGCCTACATTAAGCATGCTAAATTTTTAGTGAAAATAAATATTTTAAATTTATGTATTTGGTACAGGGTCTCATAGTGATCCTCCTGTTTTCAGCCTCCCCTGCGCTGGAATTACAGGCGCACGATACCACACCTGGACTTGGTTTGGCTCAGTTTGCCTGGGAGTGGGGCAGGTGCAGGATGTGGTACCAGGGATCGAACCTGGTCACTGCGCTTGCCTAAGCAGGCACTTACTCTGATGAGCTATCTTGCTGGCCCTGGTGAAAAGAAATTAAAAAAAAAAAAAAAAAATTCTTAATAATAGCAAACTGAAAAGCACAAAGTGTAAGTTTGGGGATACAGTGCTTTATTTAGAAAAAGATAAAAGGTATGAATTTTAAATGGCACACTAGTTAGACATCCCAGATGTATTTACACACCAAATAGGGAATAAATATACACTGATGGGAAAACAATTATCCATTTATTTATTTTGCACTTCTACTCTTCATCTTCTGTTTCAATTTTCTCTGCCTTTTGTAAATCCTTTTTTTCCTTGCTTTTAAATCAACTTTTGGCTCTGGTTTTACCCACTGGATTTCTACTGGTTTTTCCTCAGCTGGTATAACAAAAACATCTTCAGTAGGATCATGTGGAAGAACAGTCTTTGGCT